CGGAACTTCGGTAAGTATTATATGTAGGGCGGGCTAAAACAATTAATCTGTTTGTAAAAATACGTTATAGATAATAACTTACCTTGGGCTTGAGCGAGTCCTTGACAATTGACGCGGACGAAAGCAACTATCTCGAAGAGGGAGAGAATGGAATTTAGCTAAAATAGAGAAACTGAGAAGAATAAGAATGCACAGTTGCGTTAATAAAGACGCTGATAAACCTGATTGTTACACTGTGCAGATATGCGAAAACATACATTCATCGACTTACGATAAACAACGAGAACGAATAATCACAATATGTAAGTTCCGTATAATTGTAGGCCTCATTAGCCTACAAGCATTGCAAATAATCTCAGTCATGGATTGTTGACACCTAGGCCCAGAGACCGTACAAATTAGAGAGCTGAGGCCATTAATCATTACAACCTGATATTGCTACTGACCTAGGAGGCCACAGTCTAAATTAGTAATTTCGGCTGCAATTAATCAATGAGCACTACCGCTAGTTCTAGAGTTCTGGTTAATAACAAGTATCTCAGTTCCATAATTAAGAACCAATAAAAACCATAATTATACGGCTCGGTGGATGCCGGAAGGACTACCAAGAATCACCACCGGAAAAAAACGTCATGTTATTGGATTGCAGGATCAAGCTCATCGGCTGACTCACAAGGAGTGCCAGTAAAAGTGAACCGTAAAAGTTATCTCTCAATAGTTAATCAACACTTCTATAGTTTCGTTTTAAAATTGTTTCCTTAAGTTCCCGAGTTTCATTTCCGAGTCTACAATCAACTAAAATTACACAACGCATTGAAGTCCTAACTTGGAAGCACTAACTACCGGAGCAAGTCTAACTCACTAACTGGTAGTTACGTAATAGTGAAATTTAGTGGACACCTTGGCCTTATTCGGAATATAGTCAAGGAGTGTACGGGGTAGATTAAAGCGCCAAAGAATGAGTGTAAACTAATGTATTTATATTATATGCCACACCTTGTACAGCGTTTCATGAACTATATCCAGCTCATGTACTGTCTAGACTCTAGATCTGTTGCTATGGCGACGGGGACGGGTTAATAAGGAGAATTATGCAGTGTAAGAACTAAGAAAGAATATTATTATGAGTTAGTTAGAGAAGGCTATATGCAATATACCTAGGAAAAATGTGCTGTTGTTATGTTAAGTTAAATTGAGGACAGCTTTTTAGTTGTCTGAAGGAAAATGTTGGACAGTGTCGCCAAGTTAGGCTGTGTTTGGGTTTTGGAGTGATTTTACCGTAGAAGCTTGTTACGTCTTTATACTCTCACATGCATGTGCAGTAACATCTTGAATAGCTGGGTACATTGTTACATTCATAGTTATAGACAAACAGGCCGGAACGGTACCTTTGAAATAAATTAGACAACTGAAAACAATTAGACAACTGACAACCAACTCAAGGTGATATCTCAAATTTTGCAGATATAGAAACTAGCTCAATCTTACACAGATTATCCGTCCTATATAACCACCATACTTTATGGAAAGTTTAAAGAAAATCGTACGGTAGGATCCGACATAAACTATTGTCCGAATAAACTATTTTCTGAGTCGGACAGATGTCGCTGTCGGACAGATGTCGCCCAATCTGCAGTTAGTATGCTTTTATGTCATAAACAGCCGGTGATAATGATATACTGTAATATTACGGTTAATTTGACACGACAACTCGTGCATGTTCTACTTAAGGCTGTCTCCATGGTAACCAGAGTTTAAAATATTCTTCATCTTACATTATGCGGCAGGAGCTATAAGACTTAACATATTTTAAGCATTAACCATGTACACGCTATTACATTTTAGTTAAGCTCAAATAATTTACACTGGGCGGTTGCCTTTTTCCACTATGATGATGATGAAAATCTAATTATTATAGGCTACTAAATCCTTCTAGCGAATCTGGGTAGAATGATAATGCACAGTGCGTTAATAAAGACGCTGATAATCCTGATTGTTACACTGTGCAGATATGCGAAAACATACATTCACCAACTTACGATAAACAATGAGAACGAATATAATAATCACAATTGGTATCGGTCATTGTTTAGTTGAGATATTGTGATACCATGAAACAAATAATTGAACTTTAAACACTTCCTTGTGAGGAAAAATAACATTAAGAAATAAGTACTAGTGTACTGTTACGAAAATCAGCTGGTTCATAAGATTAATGAAGAAAATTCGCAAATACGATTTAAAATAGAATTATAGCAACGTAATCGAAAGACAAACTGAACAAATAAAGGTTTCGTCTTGAAACGAGCTATATATTGAGTATAACGTAGCGCTCGACTCCAATTTGAATTCAAATAAAAATGCGCTCCGGTAGTTTCAACTCCCAGCAGCTGGGAGTTGGAAAACTGGAATTCCCGTTACTGTCGCTGTGAGAAGCCTTATTAAGTGCGCGGCGCGGCACAGTAACGCATCGCGCTACAAGTAAAATTGCTGATATTGTAAGCAAAAAAAGCAAGGTTAATAATTAATATGACAACTGCAAACCGATAACCAACGTTATAGGGCTTAATGCTGGGCAAAATTATAGAGGGGAATGATCAGTGGAGCCAGTAAGGAATCTGATTGATGTATTAGTAAAAAGCAGAGAGATTATGACCAAATTCAAACATTTTTGTCTTACCCATCGCCTTCCATTTCAGGGTTTTTAACCCGGCCCCTATCACCTTAATTAACAGCAAAATTGTTTTAACTTTGGTTGATCGAATGTTTTATATCAGATGTTGATTTCTTAAAGATAGGTGTATATTTTTGCTATTATTTCTATGAAAGGGGAGGTACGGATAAAGTACCAAACCTTATTGTGTATATTTGGTTGCAACTCCGGTAAATGATGAAACATGTCTCTTATGAGAGTGATACCGTGAGTTGCTTCCTTTTTTTTTTTTTTTTTTTCCTTAATCCCTCGGTGCTTTTTTTGCTGAAACTCCATATATAATTTGAGGGTAAATTATTAAGAGAACTCTCTGTTCGTAACTAAAACGCACATATTGCAAATTTGAGCACAAAAAAGATCAAACTAGTTGCCTCATTTGGTACCTTTCTTTGTGCGTGTAGCCAAAATGACTGATTTTTGTCGATATCTCTACAAATAAGCAATAAGCATTGAGAGCTTAAATCGCTTCATAATTTGTACATAATTGTGACTTTTGCGGTTGTTTTAACATTTAAGCTAAGATTTGAGTCCCTACGACTTTCCTAGCTCAAGTTCTAGTACTATTTTTTTTGTCGATATCTTTAAACAAAGCACTGGGGATCTTATGTTGCTTTGTATATAAATGTGGCTTTTTGCGGTTATTTTAAACTAAAATTCCAAGTCTCTGGGACGTTTAGGGACTAGAGATAAAATTGCCGAAATTTACCTCATTTTACCTCATTCGGCAAGCCAAAAAGGGCAAATTTGGGATTAGGTAAAATGAGGTATATATTTTAATGTTGCCATGGGATGGCAAATCCCCATACATGTTACATCGTAGTCCGATAGTTTCACTGTGTCATAATATATAGTTATTATATAGCCACACAAAATGATATTCTCTATCCTTGTGAATCGACTACTTCGACATTTACGCGGGTATCTTCAGCGCGCACATGTGTTTATTCTTGGCCAATAATCCGAACCGTGACATAACACTAATATATGGGGCGAGTCAGAGAAAGGATCATTTCACAACCTCCGGAGGTATAGGACCGCTCGCGCTCTGCACTGTATTTGTAGATTGTGTCTCTGAGATGATAGCTGACCACAAAAAAGAAGCCAAGAGCCAAGTCAAAAATCATATCAGAACATGATTCAGATTTGATCTGTTAAGAAGTACACTCATTGTACTGAGGGGAATCAGAGGAAGATCAACAGCCAAGCATCTTGAACTGCAAGACGTTTCCTTCAACCTCATCCCCCAGAAGACAAGCTTTGAGGTCTCCTAGATTTGTTTATGTAAATTTTGTAGATATTTTACTGTACTATTTTATATTGTATACAATTTTACGGACGAAATGATCCCAGGGGGGACTCCCAACCCACCGCTTCGGCAGGTAGTTGATGCACCGTTCACAAGCAAGAGCCACTTTGGTCTACTTGCTGTGAGGTGTCTCAGCTACATGGGTTGGGGTCCCCCTTTTTTTTAATTATATGGGGCAGTGACTGTGACTTTCCACAACAACTACTAAATCATCCATTTATAAAAGTGATTTAAAAAATTACACCTAAACCTTGTGTCTCGGTGTTCACTTAAATGGTATTTGACGGCTGAACTGTGGTGTCTAAAGTTTGCAGCTAGATTGGACGCTGATATTAATAAATGTGTATGATTTTTTAAATATTGAACATACTCTGCAACCTGGTAGCACGGCTGACACTTAAACAAAAATGGGAAAAATGTTGGCCTGGCTTGTGCATAACCTAGTAAATAACCCGCACTCCGATAAAAGCCGTCTGGAGAAACTCCGCAAAGTTTTCGTTGTAGTCAACGGGCACAAAAAAGCATTACTAGCAATTGTGTCATTTACCCTCCTACACAAATTGAACGTTTTCGTGGTTAATTCATTGAACAACGTCAGACTTAATATGTATTTAGTATTAAACAATTCAGTAAGTTACCTTGCATGTATACTGTACGCTGTACACTATAGTAGTAAATGTAAACCAAAATTTTTTGATCAGCCATGTGCTGAACCAGTGTTGCAAAGTAAAAATTGTGTATTTTTTGTACATTTTTAGTGTAAATTAATTTATTAATTTATCACTTGTAAACATATCACAAATTAATTTATAATAATAAAACCACTTCTGTGAAATGGTTATTTGACTTAAAATATTTAAACTAAATATGAATTGATTGTGGGTATAAAATAAAATTTTGTTTTATTAAAAAAATTTGTTTTATTAAATAGATTAATTACAATTTTTTATTAGGATTTTTGGTTGTTATCTATTTACTAATAGTTCCGCAGTTTTGCTAGAAGCAAGTTTTGACCAATACCATGGCTATGACCTGTCACAATGTAAACAACTATTCCAACTCCATGCGGTATAATAGTAGGCAGACTCAGGATTTCATCAGGCTAAATAGCAGTGGAGATGAAAGTAAGCTCTTTTAATTTATTTCCGTCTAAAATGTTTTATTTATGGTTCTTTACATGATGCTTCAATTTCGTTAGGGACTTACTCGATACCTATTTTTTAGCCTAAAAAACATGATGTCTAGAAACCCTGAAAAATGTTGTTCATTTTTGCTATTGCATCCATCTCCTGAAAAAATGTATTGAAACCTATTAAAAAAGGTGTTGTTCACTTCAAGTATCTTACTGTATTAATACTTCAGGTAATAGCTACAACAGTCACAAAACAGCACAGAGTAAGAGGAAGCGCACCTACAAACTGCCAGAATATGGCAGCAACTTGCTGGCCCCCTTCTTCCCCAACCCTGATGCTCCCTGGAAAACTAAGGTTTATTCCCCCGACATTATAGGACTGCACAACGAGATTGAGGACTTTGCCCGCTGGATGCGTCCTACCAAGGAAGAAACCATGTTGCGGGGTTGTGTTGTAGAGAGAATCAAACGCATTGTACATCAGCTGTGGCCAACTGCACGTGTCGAGATTTTCGGTAGCTTTAAAACTGGTCTTTACCTTCCAACAAGGTTAGTTTTTTCTGTCCATGAAATTTGAATATTCGAATATTTTGGACCACGCTCAATATTAAAACACCTATATTGTTCTGTTTGAACATGCTGAACGCCTAATTTTTTTCAGAGATGGTAAATTATTGAATGTTGCATCTGATCTGAAAAAAATGAGGCAAAACGGATTAGAAATGATGAAGTTATCAAGCATTTTGTGTTTCTCGTTTACAAAATTGACTGGATGATTATGTGACACCACACCTTAATTGGGCAGATTAATGATTCCCATAATGTTTACATGTAATGAATAAACTTATGCTCCGTATCTCAGTCATCTGAGAAGCTACAACTCTCATTTTTTTAGGATACGTAATTCAAATGGCCAAACACCATTCAATAAAATTTGGCTCGAACCGAGTATCCAAACTACCATTGAATAAATGCGAAAATCAACCTTCATTTGAAAAAAATTGAAATAAATTTCGATTTGACAAATTCTTCAAACCAGTGGTGGTTGTAAATCAGTAGTTTAGACTGACCTTTCGTATAAAGTTAGTCTCATAGCATACAAAAATATTGATATTTAACCAATTTATGGGCCAAAATCTATCAAATTCGGGGCGTATGCCCAAATATGGGCATATGGTTTTTGGCTCATAACTTACTTACTTGCTTGGTTACTTGGTAAGGTCTATCCTCGTAGCAGGAAGGGTCATCAGATGTCTGACCACCGTGATGGCATGTAGTCTACCAAGGAACTCAGCCATTTTTATCCAATTTTGATAAAACTTTTAAATACACATGTTCGGAGACTGGTAACTTTATAATATACATATTTAGGAGACCTGTAGCACCCAACGTATGGTTTTGAGCATGTTTAGGTGACTTGGAAAAATTGAGCCAAAAATTAACCAAATGTGGGCGAAACTTCCCCGCGGCCTGCAGGCAGCGGTTGGCATCGGTGTCTCAAAAGTTCGGTCATTTCGTTTGATAATTATAAATAGACAATTTCCAGGTACACAAAGTATTTCGTTGTCACAATAATCCAGAGTACAGATCAGGAGTTGTGGCATGTTTTTCTTGACAATAATAAATTGCATCAAGTTTTAGGCAATAATTTGTACTTTTTTGTTAGATTATCTGTTTCAGTATACTACTGTGGTTAAAAATATAAATCATCGTGCACCCCGCAGTGACATAGACATAGTAATATTTGGACAGTGGTCGGCACCCCCACTCCGCACCCTTGAGCGCCGCCTGATCGACAACAACATTGCCGACCCAAACACCATGAAAGTACTGGACAAGGCGAGCGTGCCGATCATTAAACTCACTGATACTCTGACAAAGATCAAACTAGATATCTCCTTCAACACCAACAACTGTCTGAAGAGTGCAGAGAAAATATCGGTAATTATTGAATGTAATGATTTGGCGACCTTACTATTACTTACTAAGAATATAAACGAAAAAATATAAACACAATGAATATTTGTATCGGTAATTCGGTAAATATAAATAGTTATATAATTACTATCTTTAATTCCAAACGATTTGGAAATTATTTTCAATCTCTCCCGTTGTAACAACAGGTTGGCGAAGCTAGGGGTTATACTTTTATCACGAAATATGCGAAATTATGTTACTTGCTTGAATGTGATCGGTAACTTTAAGGAGTTTTAATAACTAAGAAGTGTGATTAGTAACTAAGAAGTGTGATTAGTTACTAAGGATTGTGATTAGTAACTAAGGAGTGTGATTAGTTACTGAGGAGGTTTACCAGTAACTAAGAAGTGTGATCAGTTACTAAGGAAGTTTACTAGTAACTAACGAGTGTGATTAGTAACTAAGAAGTAAGATTAGTAACTAAGAAGTGTGATTAGTAACCAAGAAGTGTGATAAGTTACTAAGGAGTGTGATTAGTAACTAAGGTATGTGATTAGTAACTAATAAGTGTGATTAGTTACTAAGGAGTGTGATTAGTTACTGAGGAGTGGAATTAGTAACTAAGGAATGTGATTAGTAACTAAGAAGTGTGATTAGTTACTAAGGAGTGTGATTAGTTACTAAGGAGTGTGATCAGTTATTAAGGAGTGTGATTAGTAACTAAGGAGTGTGATTAGTAACTAAGAAGTGTGATTAGTAACTAAGAAGTGTGATTAGTTACTAAGGAGGTTTACCAGTAACTAAGGAGTGTGATTAGTTACTAAGGAGTGTGATTAGTAACTTAGGAGTGTGATTAGTTACTAAGGAGTGTGATTAGTTACTAAGGAGTGTGATTAGTTACTAAGGAGTGTGATTAGTTACTAAGGAGTGTGATTAGTAACTAAGGAGTGTGGTTAGTTATTAAGGAGTTTGATTTATATATAGTAAGATTGTACATACATATTAATTTTACTAACATACTTGGTATTGCAGGAGTTGCTGCAGCAGTATCCGTGTTTGGATAAGTTGGTTTTAGTTTTAAAACAGTTTCTCCTGCAACGGCACCTTAATGAGGTCTTCGTGGGTGGATTAGGGTCTTACTGTCTAACTCTGATGGTGGTGGCTCAGTTACAGGTAATTAGTCAATTAGTTACAGGTGACTGGTATTTTTAATTAGTCAATTAAAATTGTTAACTTATTGATACATGTCATATAGTTACTATTCAGAATTTTATTTATTTGTTCATGTTATTTTCTGGGATGACTAGTTTAAACACTGCTGAGTATAAGTTTTATCTTAAAAGCGGTGTTATTAAATTTCAATTTATTGTTATCATAAGATATAAGATATGAATATCTGTTGAGTTGACACTAGATATTGTACATTAAATACACACTCACACATTGTGTCATGATATACATGCCTCTTATAGACTATACACTAATATTCTATGATGTACGTCATAAAGGAGGGTTTCCTACAAGGTAATTGACCCGCTTTTAGACAAAGAGTATTTTGCAAACAATGTTCCAAATGATGATGATGAAGTAGTTGTAAGTTGCTGACAAAATTGGTCTAAATGTCGCTCAAATTACAATATATGCACGTGCGTGTTACAACACCGTTACTTTTTATTTTTCGTAACGTGTGATAACTCACTAAGGTTATTTAGACAACAACATGACGCTACACAGTACACACCTTACACTAATACTTATACTGTTGCTTATGTTGCTTGCTTCAATGTGATCAGTAACTAAGGAGGTCACATGACAACCCATCCTTTCACGTGACCTTGATTCGTAATTCAAGAGATCACATTCGTAACGTGTCGTATGCTAACTTGTGACGTCACCAGAGTTCAAACTACGTGATCATGCCTTATATGGAATAGTATTGTGTGTATCGAATGTACCCAATTATATGAGCCGCGAGCCCAATTATCGCAGCATTAACTTTTATTCCGGAACCCAGGAGATCTAGGCCAGAGATTTGAAAATAGAAGGATTATTTGTTAATGAAAATCGAAGCGAATATCATGTAACCCTATGTTTTCGATGACGAGTAACAGTAGTACTTTTACTTTCACGAGTTCGATGATTTCACTCCGTTTCTGGAATTTGTTTCTTATCAGTTTGGATATATAATAGGGAAAATACCTACTTTCAGTCAATCCAGAGGTTTCCACATAAGGTGTTGATTTCAAATACTTTAGTTAAATAATCCAAACACTTTCCCGTGAGGCGTGACAGATTGCGCAGAAAGTTTGTTAGTATTATTGCATTGCTGTCACTGTTGGATACCGTAATTGTTATGGTTTCAATAGAAACGTGCTTCTCCGTCATATTGAGATAGTGAAACTCCAGCTATAGATTAGGACCCTTCAAAATCAACATTATACAATATACAGGGTGTTCCAAACTTGTTGCATAATGCATATACTATACACTAGTACACAGTACACACACTACTAGTGACATCACTACATATACCTTCTGTTACATCCTCAATAAATATATTTAATACATACATACATACATACATACATACATACATACATACATACATACATACATACATACATACATGTACATACATACATACATATCTTAATCTACGTCTTAGAACACTGTATCACTAAACTTAAAAGCAATGCAGTGCACTCTACAGTGTACAAAGGTTTCTTTTCATAGTTCAAGTCATTTTTTACAAATCACTATGTATGTCAACAACATGTTTGTCTCAGAACAGCAGTAAATCTACCACTTAAATAAATGTACATATATATCACGATTTCGCCTGTTTGGAACTTCTTACAACTGGTGGTTCGAATAAAGTAACATGTACAATGTACATTTCAGTAACATGTACAATGTACATTTCAGCATTGTCCGAGACGCCGGAGAGGTAGGCTAGAAGACGAAAACTTGGGAGTTCTTTTGATGGAGTTCTTCGAGTTGTACGGAGTGTTATTTAATTACAATAACACTGGGATAAGGATACACAATGGAGGGTCATTCTTCAATAAGAACGATGTGGCAGAAATGAAAGGCTCTATGCTCTGTATCGAGGTCTGTACTTTAATTTTGTAGTGAAACTTTTATAACGGCACATTCCAGGGAGATAAATAATAAATAAATAAATTCTAACATTTATTACACGCTTCGACATTAAAATATACCCAACAAAGATGTACATTAAAGTCATTCAAGCGAGACTTAGTGTTGAAATAGCAAGATTATGGACTTTTTAAACAGTTCAGATTTTATGAACAAATATTTGTATGAAGTTACCAAAATTATGCACTTTCATATCAGTTCAGACATTATGGACAAATATTAGAAATATTATCAAAAGCTAGTTGGAAATAAAACGTCTTTAGGGCATTTTTAAAACATTCTACAGATGATAATGATCTCACTGAGTAGGGTAATTCATTCCAAATTTTTGGTCCACAAAACATAAATGCAGCATCTGTTCGTCTGAAATGAGGAGCAGGAGGAACTTTCAACAAATAAAAGTCATCATCTAGTCTGGAACTTTGTCTTCGTACTTCCCTTAGATTCCCTTAGATAATTCATTTTTAGCGGTAAAATAAGTTGTTAACTAATTTCACCATTACAAATAGGCCGATCTACTGCGGATTTGTGGCATGGGAAATTTAAAGCCGATGTTTCTCATTTTATCACATTATTTACCTTAAAATTTGGATTTAGAGCAGTGAGTGAAACTAAGTTTATCTGATAAAACTGGAATTCTCTATTATTTGCCAACATATATGAATTATACCACTTTCAGGACCCGTTCCAACCTGGTAACGATATTGCCAGAGCATCTTACGGCATGTTTTATGTCAAAGACTCTTTCAAATTCGCATATCGGTGGCTGAAAAGAGCGGTCGTTGCTCCGAGAAAACCCAATGAACAAGTTTTCCCGATGACTGACAGGTTTGTCTTATTTCCAGGATAGTTTAATAATTTGAGGGTGTAAACTTCAGTTCGTTAATAGTGATTTTTAGGTATCAATTTTTCGGTTCTCCTCAACTTGAAAACTTGACCCCAAAATAGGGTACGGGACAGCATAGGGAATTTTCCCTGTTGCTACTAGCAATTTTCGAAGCTTACAAAATAGAAACAACACAGTTGTCAAAGTTCATAAGTGTGTGAAAAATGCGCGCGCGCACGATTTTGAAAGTTTGATATCATAAAACATTTGACATCATATTTGCAGCATTCTTGGAACACTTGTGAAAGTGGACCGAGGAATCGTGGAGTACAGAAACTGGATAAAAAACAACTGGGTTAACTTAGCGAGACAGTTACCGCATCCAGAGTCTTACAATCACACACCGACCGCTAGCAGACCAGATAAATTAAAGGTTTGTGGTCGACAATTTTTGTTGTTTTGATGATCTCATACTTTTCTTAGAGGCTGTCACTAGAATAATCCAAATATTCAGTGTGTACGTGCCTTTGTAAGATCATCCCTAATACGCAAGTTTATATAGTTCTTAAATTTCATAATTACAGCGAGAGAAATGGACACCCGGGCCCAGAGTTGGCGAGGACTTCTCTGACACACCCACAGACCAAAGTGCCGAGGCTTCCAGTGACGACTATGATAGACTAACTGATGATCTTAGCTCTGATTCTTCCGTGTGATCAAGCTTTAATAGTATGTAAAACAACCCAAAAAAAGTTAAAAACTAAAATTTTAAAAAAAATCACAAAATGGATAGAACAAAAAGACCCTCGCTGAGATCCATTTCACGCAATTAACTGGGTGGAGTTGCTAGTCCAGTAATTACTCAGTTTAAATCATTGGTCGAGTACTGATTTTTAATTTGTTATTAACATGAAAAGAAGAAAACAGATAATATGCCAGTCAAGAAAAAAGCTGGACACTGTGGCAAGAACCGCTTATTTATATTTGAAGTCTCTGTGAAGAGTATTATGTTCATTTTGAAAGAGCGTTTTAGATATGCCAGCAGTAACCAAGCATACGATAATAAAAAGATTTAAGTTGCTATGAACAAATCTCAATGGTTAATTGGGCCAGGCCTTGTTAAAACAGCTGCCCAAAGGAGCAAACCTAAGTTTTTATTGATGTTTGTTAATCGATTTGCATTGTTTTCAATGCTATTAGTTAATTCAATTTTTGTATATTTTGATACTATTTCATAATATAAGCCCACGATTTTTTGGTTCAACAAAGAATCTTAATGTGGGACCATGATCAAATGCAGATCAAGAATTCCTAGCTCAGTGACTAATTAAATCATTTTATTTTACTTTTAATGAGGCAGTGCTGAAATGATTACCGTTACCGACACTATTAGATTTCTCTTTCCATTGAACTTTCAGGTGCTATTTTTTCCTACTTAAAACGTCCTGCATTTGAACATTGTCTCTGGCCTACAATTACAAGGTTTTATTGTTTTCTAATTGTCTTGATAGATAGTTTGTATTTTGAATTAAAGAGTTTTCAATTGCTCGATTATAGATTGATTCATCCCTGTCGAATGCCACTATGGCTGTTTAACTACTCTTTGTGACTCGCAGGTTAGTATGAGCTGATGATATTTTCAGAAGTGGCACTTTGAGTGACAATCGTTAATAGTATTTATCACAATTTAATTTGGCACATTACAATACTTATGGTTATTTATATAGTTCACTCACAAAGTGCCTAAAGATTATATTTTTCTAAAGAACTTGTAATTCGGTGGTACTGAGACAGAAAAATACGCTGGAAATGTTGTATGAACATTGAATTATGTAGAATGTATGAGGAACCCTTAATGTTATATTCAACGTAATTTTTCCGCAAAATATGGCGTTTGAACTCGGTTTCGGTTGATTTGCATAGATGGTTTTGAGAATATTTAGTTTTGAATTGGAATAGATACAATTTCTTGCAGCCTTGAATTCTTGGGGTTGAAGTTTTTCCTTTTAGAGACTAGTTGTCCAGGTTTTAATCGTTATCTTAATTTGTGGAACTAATTGACTGATTATTCGATTAAAGTAACTTAGGTTTCAAGTTTATGGCTGTTTTCCAGCAGGCTGAAACTATCCATGGACAGCCCGCTCTCGGGGCTTTGGGAATACAACGTTATCTTTACCCTGGTGATGCCTTTGTTTGGCCCCACTCCACATATCCCCTACCTTTTCCAGCAACTAATTTACCTGTTCATGGATAGTGTCCTGGTCTATGGATACCGCCAAGTTTTACAGTGTGTAATTGTATCGATAGATAAAAGAGAACTTTATAGATTCTAATTTAAGTCTTTTGTCGAGAGTTACTAGTGCGCAACAGCATCTCGGCAACCATACACACAGCCCATTATAGTTAGTCCGTAAAGTGGTTTGAGAGGATACATTTATTGCAAGAGGTTGTTTAAGAAAACGCCCAGAAACGACAATTGACATGCTTCTGATGGTGGCGCTTCGTCGTTCAATTGGAAAGATTTGTCATTGAAGCCAAAGCACTGTTATCTGTAAAAAGACACACTATCGTATCAGAGGTGTGTGAAAATGGTCTTTCCTGGGCACTTGAAACAGTGCGCACAGAAAAAAGACGGAACTTATCCTGTTAATTTAAATATGGACCACCTTAAAACATATTTAAATGCCAACCTATTATACCCGAGGTCATGGCGGCCGATCTTAAGATTGAGGTTTAGACATGTAATATTGTGTGTTGACTGTTGGGTATTCAATGTTATATTAGAAGCTAACAGTGAATGTGCCGTCGTTAAAGGAAGTTTATGATGATGCAGTGAAGAAGTAATAGAGATGCTATGGGTGACGAGAGATTTTAAAACGAATCAGAAAGTAGAGGATGATGATATTGTCGAAAGTGAAAGTGAACAGAAGATAAAAGAAGATAATATTGTCAGCTGGCAGACAGTACCGATATATTTTGAAAATATTTTGGTCAGAAAACATCAGAGACTAACAATATGTGTAGTTTGTTGCCCATGGATTATACTACGAAATGTTATTGATATTAAAGTTTCTGATAACAAATTGTTTCACTTCTTTAGATTAAATTAACTTGTTCATTACGTAATAAAATAATAATGTTCATTACGTAATATAAGGGGTCGTTCACATATTACGTATTAACAATTATTTGTAATTTTTGTAAATTGAATTCAAAAAAGTTCGCTACACCTTTTTACCGCTCACTCAAATTTTAAAAAATTGTTGTGAAAAGGCCCTGAGGGTATGAATGCAATCTAATTGAAAAGGCGCTGAGGGTATGAATGCAATCTAATTGAAAAGGCCCTGAGGGTATGACTATGAATGCAATCTAATTGAAAAGGCCCTGAGGGTTTGTCATACGTTGTATGACAAACTTGATGACTAGACGTCATCAAGTTAACCGTTTTTAAAACTTTATTTTTGACAATATAACAACTTTTCAAACCGATTTTACACCATTATAAAAAAAGTTGTCCATTGTTAATGGACTAGCCCGGCGCGCGCTACTTCGAAGAATTTTAGACGAGTAACATCCGTCAAACCATTAAGGAGTAATTTTATTCAAAATTTGAGGGGATATTCCAGTTAGATAAAATTGTTCAAGCATTCTGAAAATCTACCGGAAAGTTTTCCTACCTTGCTCCTTCATAAAAATATTCGCTATTGAAGTTGGTGCTTTTTTAGAGAATAATTTTATAAAAACACAAAAGTTGTGATTTAGTATTTTTTGGTGTTGGGCCATTCCTTGTGTTACTGGGCCGCGCTCAGCCTGTCATTCCGCCAAATGTTTATGAACATAATAGCCTGGGGTCCCCAGGTAATCCTTGTGTTGTGGAGCTTAATTTTGCTTCCTAAAGGTGTAAATTTTGTTTTAGGCTAGTTTAAAGTTGAAAATAGAAAAATTGGACACGCCAAAATTGAAATATGAAAGAAAATTGCTTTTTCATGATTTTTATCAACTTTGGAGTCCCGTTGTGATCCAAGTTCTTTTTGAAATCTTTTGAAACTTTGCATGCTTATTAACAATTAAACAATATATAAATGTTTTCAAAGGTAAAGTTTCGAAATCGTTGAAATTACCTCCTTAATAATGAAGTTATGAGTTTACAATTACACGATAATCAAAAAGAGATGATATTTGACCAAAACCCATAATCATATTCATAGGTAAAGTGGATCGCAACAGTGTCTCTCTCTGCCAAACAAAAGGAAATGATATTAGTTTGAATAACCGTCCGCAAATGCAAATTGATACCGAGAATGAAATCGGTCGCTCGCTTTTCCCATTCATTCACGGCTTACGGATTGTTATAAAGTTTCAATTCATTATATCCCTGACATGCTGTAAAATCTTTTTGGGTTGCATTTCCTTTTGTTTGGCAGAGAGAGAGACACTGTTGCGCGGTCCACTCTACCCATGATTATGGGTTTTGGTCTAATTCACGATGTCAATCCTTTGAAGCTGGCTCTTACTACATACTAAATCGCTCGCCCAAAAATTTAACGTGACTTTGGTTTTTTTGGTTTTGCAGCCGTTCAAAAAGGTTTTACATAAACCCTAATCCCAACCCTAACCATAACCCCGAAGCTATCCATAATCTTAACCACGACCCTAACCCGAGCCCTAAATAATCGAATTCACGTTTTACTAGCCTGTCACGTGACCAAAACGGTTTTTTGCCCATAACTTTCCAGGGAAGCATTTTAACCCTACGTCATGGGGGTGATTCGGAATCAGCGTCCAAAATGCCTATAGGGCCTTTTCACAAGAATTTTCTTTGAATTTGGGCGAGCGATTTAGTAGGAACGAATTATTTGATGCGCGTCTCGGCCCAGCTACAAGGTTTTGGTCAAATTACTATTAATTATTAATCTACCTCCACCTCAATTATTAATCTATCTCTAGATCTCTTACAACTGGTTGTTTATCCAACTCGTAGTTGTACCGGGTAATAAACGATATCATTATCAACTGCTCTACTATACCAGAGATACTAGAATGCCTGAAGTACAACTTGAGCTTTATCTCTAGCCCCACCACTTTACTTGGCGTAGGCTACCTTCGGTGGTTCATGTCAACGACGATACCTTCTACCACACCAACCATCTCGATAATATAGAATTCAAAACCGGGATATCTTCCGACAATACTCAGCTGCACAGCATTTAACATTTTTAATGCCTAACAACTGCTTTTCTTAGTTGCTGTATGAAAAATCGAGTTAAAAATTATCTGTTTAAAAAAATGAATAAGTTCGAATTTTTACTGACATGAACATGTAATTAGGTCGGACGGACCTAATTACATGTTCATTGTTCATGTCAGTAATACACTGGGAGAAATCTTTGGGAATATATACCTCAACCTGTCAACTATACAATGGTGCCAGCGTAGTTGACTATATGGCAGTCACACCTGAATTGTTGGAAACAGTGCTGCCATTCCAAGTGCAGAATGTTAACATTAACAAATTCTCTGTGCATCTGCAAAATAAAGCAAACATATCTTCTTCAAAAATATTTTAGCAATTTTTTACCTGGGGACCCCAGGCTATTATGTTCATTAACAGGAATAGAGATTAGGCGGAATGACAGGCTGAGCGCGGCCCAGTAAGCAATTTTTAGTTTTACCGCTTCTACTAAATCGCTTGCCCAAATTTTAAGAAAATTCTTGTGAAAAGGCCCTTTGGAGTTTGGCTATGAAATTACCTGGGGACCTCAGGCTATCATGTTTACAAACGAATAGAGATTCGGCGTAATGACCGGCTGAGCGCGGCCCAGTTTACTGAGCCGCGCTCAGCCTGTCATTCCGCCTAATGAACATAATAGCCTGGGGTCCCCAGGTAAGGCCCAGTAAGCTATAAAATTGATCTAAATCGGTGTATTTTTGGACGCTGATTCCGAATCACCCCCATGACGTAGGGTAAAAATGCTTTCCTGGAGAGTTATGGGCAAACAACCGTTTTGGTCACGTGACAGGCTACTATTACTAAAACATGAATTCGATTGTTTAGGGCTCGGGTTAGGGTTGTGGCTCGGGTTATGGATAGCTTCGGGGTTATGGTAAGGGTTGGGATTAGCCTTAGGGTTTAAAACCGTTTTGTACGGCTTCAAAACCATAAAAACCAAAGTCACGTGAAATTTTTGGGCGAGCGAATTAGTAAGCGCCAATTTTTACCCCCTCTACGGAAGCGCATGTGTGTCACCAGCTTTTTTACCTAGGTAACATCATGTGTAACCTAGGTACCATCATGTGTTACCTAGGTAACATCATGTAATGTCGCGTAATATTAGGTTATCCTTCCAGATTATTTTTATATTACCTGGGGACCTCAGTATTTGGTGTTCATAAATCGATTGAAGATATATGGCGGAATGACATGTTCGATGTTGACGCCGCCCAGAAAATGTTTATATTGCCTTCTAGCACTGAAAATTACGATCATTTTTAGTGTCTATTTTCGAAATGGAGGTATTATAACCTATTCTGAAAGTCTTAAAGTTATCAGACGATATGATATTATATATTATATATATATATATATTATGATATTGACAAGAAACACGCCAGGGTAATTAATAACAAAATCATCCATCACTTGAAAAGTTGTAAAATTAGGCTATAACATGTTATATTATTATTAGTATATTGATCGTTTTAACAGTTTCGCAAACTCCTGCACAAAATATAGAGCAACATTTCCTGGACTAAATCTACAAAATTAATCCTTTCTATTAAAGAATTAAGATGGCTGTTCGTTACCAGTAAGTTGAATATGTCCGTTACTTAAAAGATCCAGCTTACAATTGAGTTAAACAAAATTAAGTTGAACTAAGAAGGCATATCATATAGCGGAGTAAATATATCTAAATTTTCGATTAAAAGAAAAAAGATATCGTTGTATACCTTGTACAAAACCATATAAAATTCTAAATTTTAATTTTCTTCGACACAAAACACATGCACAGGACATTACAGACAGTGAGAGTAATAGGAGGAAAGAGAACTATTACTTATTTCTTTACTTTGTTCACATTGCTCGCCAAATTCCATGTGTCTAACAATTCCATGTGTCTAACAGCTGTAGCAGACACACGAAACCTGGCAATCAGTAAGCTTATACTTTAAATAGAAGGATATTACTGAAAGTATACTAGTTACTTATACTACTAGGTAACACATGATACTGAAAGTATACTAGTTACTAGTACTACTAGGTAACACATGATACTGAAAGTATACTAGCTACTAGTACTACTCCACTGATTTACCAAATATCTCACATTGTTAGTCCAGTAATCATAATTCAGCTGCTTTATCAATGTAAAAATATGACGAATTCTAAACAAGCATAAAGTTCCAGCTCCTTTAATGTAACAAGACAATTCCTACAAAATTATTTTACATCACACAAAATATTTTGAGGGGTTTAGTTTTTGGCACAGCAGCCGCCCCCGTTGGCTGCTTGTTGATCACTGTCTATTCGTACTGTTTGTCCATTGTTGGCAGGTTTTGGCTCCACCTTCGGCAGCATCTTTGCTGAAATAATTTTACAAGATAAATATTTTGTATCGGACGTGGCACCCGCCCCCTTGCATTGGACGTGGCACCCCCCCCCCCCCCCCCCCCCCCTTGTATCGCTAAACAGTCTGTTGAAAGGGGAATGTTCGAAAAGTTTATTATAACTAACTAAAATACACAAATAAGTTTACTCTGTCACATACTTTTGATGATATCTGAACATGCGTGAAGTTGAGCAAATATAGATATACCAGCTTAAACACCCTATATTACGTACTATGGATCAATCAACATTATTACAACCACGCACCAGTCACGTAAATTATTACGTGGCAGTAAAAAACAGTGTCACAATTGAAACATCGCAACATGGTAAAAAATAGGTAAATTTCGTCATCAAAATATTATAACTCTGTTTGCTCCTATATTAATATATAGTTTATCGAAATTTGTAGGATGATAAAGTAACATATAATCCTAAATTTCGTAATAAATTATATAATTTCCCTATTTTGCTAAAAAAGTAGAAACATTGAACATTTAAAATATAATTTGAAACAAATTACAGTAACGTTATTCAGATCTCAAACAGAAAAAGTATACTTCAAAGCTTTGTGTTTTGATTATATGATTGTGAGTCAATATCGATTTTGATTGCATGATTTTTGGAGTGAGAAAATGTTGGGAGTGCCAGCCAGTATCTCAGTCAAGTGAGCGGAAACGCGAGAACAACAGAGAGGGCGGCACAAAACGGCACACACGGAAATAACACAAAAAGAAAGCCGTGCGCGGTAAGTTAGCCAATGTCTGAGAGCCGGTGGTGTAAACTAACCTATTTCTACGAAGACATTTGAAACGTTGTCACCGGTTTTGGCAGAGGTTTCCATGAAGATGAGATTGTGTTCTTGAGCGTACGCACTGCCCTCCTGAAAAGTCATATACGTTTAGAGATCTCAACTCCACCACAAAATATGTAACTGATAAGCTGGCCTTTATAATAAAAACAATTTTTAACACATATCTGGTGCGTTTCAATATTTCAGGGGGGTAGTACAGGGGGGGGGGGGGCGCCAAAAGTCAGTACCCATACGTTGGCCTTAATAGCTCAGTCACTGAGTGCCCAATTGAAATAATTCTTTCTGGTATAACTTACTACCAATCACAATTCAATAAAATTTGGCTCGATCTGGCTATCCAAACTATCAAATTTGAATTAAAATTCAAACCTTCATTTGAAAAAAAAAGACTCGAATATTTTTCGATTTGACAAATTCCTCGAAACAGTGGTGGTAGTAAGTTATACCAGAAAGAATTATTTCAATTAAGCACTCAGTGACTGAGCTATTCAAAGGCCAACGTATGGGTACTGACTTTTGCCCCCCCCCCCCACCTGTAGTTATCTCAACTTCTACCCCCCCCCCCCGTAGTAGTTACCTCAACTTCTACCATGCGTTTGTTACTTAGATCGAACTTGTTGCCTGCCAGAGCGATAACGATATCTTTTCTCGCTTGTCTGTCCAGCTCTTTAACCCAGGATTTAGCTCGCTCAAATGTGTCCTGAGTAATTGATCATTTAGCATAAACTTATATTTTGATTACTTTAATGCTTTACTATCTATAATATAAAATGAAAGATTATTTCTGAGTTTCTCACTCCGCAAAGTTATTTTGCACGATATTCTGAAATCTGAATTTAATTATTATTGGCGCGTGGCGCTGAACCGATCAAGTAAATCGTTAATATCACCATGTACGTATCTAACTAGGCACTAATTGATAGCATATTATTTCGAGTTAGTACTTAGTATTATAGTATTACCATTTTGCACAGATCCGTGTCATATCAGGTTGCATAAACAATAAACATATGGTTAGTGTTACAATATAATGTATACGATTTTCAAATTTAATATGGAATTAACTGGGCGGCGCTCGGCCTATTACTCCGCCATATCTGCATTCTGCATGCTTGTGAAGTATAAACAGTAAAGCCTGGGTCCCAGGTTGTATGGAATATGATGAAATATGCCATCACGGATCGGAAATTGAGCGGCCATCCACAAAAGAAAAGCGGCCGCATTTCTTGTGACTATCCATAACTTTGGTTGTGATTGATATTTTTTGATGCGGTAAAAAGTAGCGTTTAAGGAATCTGAATACTTACAACGTTGTAATCATTGTCAAATAAAATCCATGATTTCTACAGTATATTACAGAGCTATACGATGGAAAAGAATTAAAAAAAAAACTGATTTGCAAAATTTCCTCGAACAAAACTTTCAACTAGCAGGTTTCTAATGGTGAATATTTTGTCAAATCGCAAGAATAAAACTTCGAAGTTTTATTCGCCATTTCAAGATATTTTAATTCCAGTATGATTTCTGTATTAATGTTATGTATTTAGAAAAACTCAGATCTGAAGCACTGGGAAGAACTTATTTGTGGAGATTCGAGATAAACTTAAAGAGATGTTGAAATAGGTAAATGAACTTAAGTTTAAGTTTTTGTACTCAAAGATATGTTTAAACACGTTTTATGTTTAAGTTTTTTAAGTTTATTGCCATTTAATAATAATTTTAAGTTTTTTACCGATCTTCTTTGTAGACTTATCAGATCTTTAGGATGTTTATTGTTAGCTACTTCAGATTTGTGTAAAGTTTGATAATAATAATAAAATGAACTTATATTATTTAATAACTAATATCATGGAAATTTATTTTCTGATGTTTTCTAAAAGGGAAGAGTGCTTTATTATTGATCCTGGCTCAAGTATGTGTAATTCTATTGCGCAGAATTTTGAGTTCGGCTTTAAAACCACAGTCTGTCACAGTTGAGAAAGTATGTATATATTTCTCTAAATAGTATCTAGTTTGTGAGAAGAGTATGAAAAACTCTGGCTCCATTATAGAACACCCACCAGCCCCCTTAAGATAAATATTAAAGTGTAGAGCACTCAGATTATTCATAAAATTTTATAAACAGTTTGACATCACACTTCGGTTTATAACAGGAAATATGACTCCTAGGTTGCATGGTTTGAACAGATGAATTTCTCAGGTACCAGCGCGCGTTATTAACATTGCGGTAAGCGCTTTTTTAGAGGACCTTTGTAAAGTCATAGGTGTTATTTTTGCTAGTACCAAAAGCGCTTGCCAAGTCGATATTCCACGAACCGCGCGCGTGTCCCTTGACTGCCCCGTGACTGAGAAGTGCTGTTGTCATTATTATAAAATCAAAGATATAAATCTCACCCGATTCGTAATGTCGTACACAATGATTGCAGCCTGAGCGCCGCGGTAGTACATTGGTGCTAAACTGTGATACCTTTCCTGTCCTGAAAGTGCAGTCCTATAATCACTGAAATATGACACTGCACATTTGTAGTGAGCGTGTTGCGCCGTTTCATTGCTTAAGTCATTCAGTACTAGAGAAGAGATTCGACGAAACGGAATTTGAATGTTGCAAACAATTGTTTCTCGACCAGTTTGAACCAACAAAAAGCCATAAAGAAAGAGATTACGTACCTGCTGTATCCCATATCTCGAATTTAACAGTAACTCCGTCTACAGTAACAGTTTGGGTGAGAAATGCTGCTCCAATTGTGGTTTCTTGGTATTCGTGGAACTGACCTTTTACAAATCTTAGTACTAAACTTGATTTTCCAACTGCAGACTCTCCTGTAGAAGATGTGAACATGTTACATGATTTTGTTTAATGTCACATGTTACGTGATGTTGTACAATGTCACAATAGTGGCGAAAAATGGAAAAACCTATAAAAATAGCAGTAAATTATTTTTAATACTTAAAATATTTTTAGTAATTAATAAATAAATTGAATGAAATACCTAAAAGAACTAATTTGAACTGCAAAGCTTTAGCCTGAGCAGGTCCATTCTGACGGGGTCTACCAGACATAACTGAGGAAAAGTTCAGTGAAATAATAGTGAATAATAGTGAAATCATATGAAAAAATAGTGTACACTTGCACTGTTCAGTCAAATTCACAAAATCTTTACCATGCCTCTACTTACTGAGTTCGTCTCGCAGTGGCCTCGTGAGGTTAGTGGCCTCGTGAGGTTAGTGGCCTCGTGAGGTCAGTGGCCTCGTGAGGTTAGTGGCCTCGTGAGGTTAGTGGCCTCGTGAGGTTAGTGGCCTCGTGAGGTTAGTGGCCTCGTGAGGTTAGTGGCCTCGTGAGGTTAGTGTCAAGATAACTCTCAATAGCAAGTGGTTTAAATAATAGCTAATAATAATCAACTGACCTGTGTATAAACTAGAAGGTTTATGAAGACCTATTTGGTTCTTTACAGTCAGATGAGGTGAGCTCTACCTGTTCACTGACATTACATCCCCGACATGACTAAAATTGTTGATTTTATGTTACAGCATAATGTAGAGGGGTCGCAGAAAAAAAACAAGCTTAGGTTTACCTGTTTTATAAGGTTTGTTGGACGCAAGCAGGTATTCAGGAGCATTTAGAAGATTTCGCAACACTTTGTGTTTGTAGGTGTGGTCGGTACGTCATAGTGTGCATCTTGTTGAGAATCATTGTGGCTATCTATACAGCTCAACTGTAACACAGCTAATTTTCAAATGTGTGGCACATCAACATGTTCTGTATACAGTACACCTCGGACCTAGTAAACCGGCAGAATCACCAGCTTCAGCTCCATATTGATAAAACAAACCAAAGCAACAAAGTTTCTTGGAGTAGTTATCGACAGGCAACTTTCTTGGGGGCTTCATAAAACAGCACCTAAACGGAAGCCAAAAAATGGCCTGGAATCCGTTTATGGAGGAAAAAGTCTCAATACATTTCACTCTCAATGCCATATCGTATTCATAAAAAAGCTAGACTTGTTGCTTGGGGTTTTCTTGGGGATACATCGTCCATCATAAGTGACTCCCCTACTTGTTGCACAGATAGTCTTCGTTTGCTCCTTGCCATCATTGCCAGAAAGAACTGGATTGTGTAAGCATAGACATTAAGTCTGCTTTCTTACAAGGGAACAACCTGTGTAGTGTGTACATGAAACAAGCAGACCTCTCCCAGGAGGTACTATGGGCTAGTAGAGGGGGGGGGGGCTAGTAGACGCCTGTCTTAAGTGGTATCAGCAGTTGAGGGGGGGGGGGGGGGGCTAGTAGACGCCTGTCTTAAGTGGTATCAGCAGTGGAGGAGGGGGGGGGCTAGTAGACGCCTGTTTTAAGTGGTATCAGCAGTGGAGGGGGGCTATTATAGTAGATGCCTGTCTTAAGTGGTATCAGCAGTGGAGGGGGGGGGGGGGGGGCATCTTATGGGGGCACCAAATCGTCGTTGAAAAACTTAACAAAGCTGATTGTCTAATTTCAATGAAACAAGAAATTTAATTTTTAGCACATTTTACAGAATAAAAAGATGTAAAACAATTCATAAATATATAATGCCCATTTGCTTTTTGACTTTTTATCTTTGACTGCTACAGCAGGGTGTCAGAATTATTTGGGTGCTTGAACTTTTATCTGTATTTTATGACGAAATCAATGGAAAAATATTGTTCCTAGCCGAAATTATTGCCGGTCAGAGGTCAGCGCTTATAGTTATGTGTAATTGTATTGCGCGAGCGATTTTCAATCGCACATTTTGAAAATCAAGTCTAAAAATCTATCTTCTCCCACATTTATTGAGCAATTACCCTCAAACTTTCAGGATATGTTCTTAGGATCAGTTAGAAGAGAACTCTAGGGCCATAATTTTGAGATAGGCCTTTACAGATTTTTAATTTGATTTTGAAAATCTTGGACCTCTAAAAATCGACAAAAGAAGGTCCAAGATTTTCAAAATCGAATTGAAACACTGGCTGATAAGAACAAAGTTGATGACAAAGGAAAGCCCTGGAGATCATCTATCTCACTTGGCTCCAAATTGTGCAGCGCCAATGAGGACATAAAAAGACGCTGCATTCTGGCAAATCTTGCTTTCTAAAACTACAAGAAAGTTTGGGAACAACGCATACCCCTAGCCTTAAGACCAGACTTATCTACGAAGCCCAGGTGCAGTGGTCACAGTCTTAATGTACAATTGTAGTCTGTAGAGCCTGCTGTGCTGCATCGAAGCAGCTATTGACTTAACTGGACATTTGCCACAGGAAACATCTGAGGCAAATCATTACTTCATTAGAATGACTGAACCTAATATAATCAGAAATTACACACTTTACAAGAGATGTGAAGTGGTTCCACTCAGTGAGCGTGTTGCATGTGCACGATGGAGGATGCTCGGCCATGTTCTTCGCAGTGATTTGAATAAAGTTTTATAATAATAAAGTTATATAATAATACCTCATTCTCAATTGAAATTTTAAAAATACACCGTGGGCCAAAAGTCAGTACCCATACGTTGGGTCTTATACCTCTGCCGTGTTTTATATTTGAGAGTTGTTGCTTTGCAGATGGCATACTGTACCTACTTTTTCGAGGAATCCGTCGCCAAAATTTTTAAATTCGAATATTTTAGACCACGCCCATTCAATATTGAAACACCTATATCATTCTTTCTGAACATACTGGAATGGACGCCTAATTTTTTCAGAGACGGTAAATTATCAAATGCTGCATCTGATCTGAAAAAATGATGTAAAACAAATTAGAAATGACGAAGTTATCAAGCATTTTGTGTATCTCGTTAGCAAAATTGACTGGGTGATTATGTGACACCGTGACACGACACCTTAATTGGGCAGCCTGAACGATTCCCATAAAGTTTAACTGTTTAACGGGGTAGTTAACGGGGTGACCTTATCACATGATTAGGTAAGCCAATCATCTGGTCACACGTAATGAATAATCTCGTTATGCTTCGTATCTCGGCCATCCAAACTAAATTTCAATCAAATTTAGCTTGATCCGACTATCCAAACTATCAAATAAATGCCAACATGAACTTTCATTTGAAAAAAATTTACACAGATATTTTTAGAACCATTGGTTCAAATTCCTTGAACCAGTGCAGTGGTTTAAGGAACAACGTATGAGTACTCTACTGCTTTAGCTCAGCGGCAGCAGTTTGAAGCTTCTTTAAATTATTTTTATTCTTATTATAGTACGGGTATCGGCCTTACAAAATGACACGAAAAAGGAGATGGCTCTGAAATGCACAAAAATGAGTTTTGTTCATGTTTTATTATCCAGATAGTTTTGCAACCAGATTTGCTCACATTTTTTCTCACATTTTTGCGACCGGAAATGAAATTCAAAAATATTTCTCCGCACGGAGAAATATTTTTGATATGACCCAAAACTCCGTGAAAGCAGTTTTAATTTCATTATAATTTCATTATGATGCGCCCACGTGCGCGCGCAAATCTGCGTGCAATAATACCAAGCGTGGGAACGTACATTGTAAACAAAACTGGCTTCACGGAGTTTTGCCTTTCAAAACTCTTTTCGCGGAGTTTTGTGTCAAATCTTGTCGCAAAACTGAGCCGTGGAACTGAGCTGTTACAAAATGACAATTTCGTCACGGCTGTCATTTTTTAACAGCAGCCTATAGAAATTTGATTTCACCTAGGACAGTTAGATAAATATAATAGATTGGAGATTAGAATAGCTTTTACAGGAAAAAGGATGGTTAAAAAAAGTTGGGCAACTTCGTGTGAGGTAGTGCCTTACAAAATGACAACCCAAAACGGTATCACTCCAAATCCGATTTGGGAAAAAGTTTCATTATTCTTTCACGTGTCTTACTGTTAGATATATATGTTGTTTATATTATACCAGTTCTGTTTTTACCAGAATATATTAAAAAAGGAACATTTTTTATACTTTGAAAAAATTGAAAAATTGTCATTTTGTGAGGCGTAAAAATCATTTTTTGTTTTCATACTTGAACACAGTATTTGGTTATATTTGATATGTTCTATGCCTGGATAGATCACTTTTAAGTGTTTAGTTAACGTTTGACATGTTTTAGGAGTTGTTATTACTCTCTGCTTTCACAAAATAGAAGCTTTATTTCGTTGAGTTTTGAAATGTTTTTAAAATGTTTTGATATCAGAGCTGCACTTTTTTAATGCTGAAAAACCTGAAGAAGAAAAGGCATTTGTATGTCCCATGCTCATCCCTTTACCCCATTTCCTGTCCTGTTATGCCCCTACTCCAATTACTGTACACTATATACGTATATACGGATACCGACGCATCCCTGCCCATGCCCGCCCTTCTGTAGTTCTTCTGAATTTCATTTTTCTAATGTACCAGCCATTGTTGGATTTCTAACCATATTTAACGTATCAGATGTCAGGGTCAAGAATCTTCAATGTTCCACCGTCAGCGAGGGCGAGCTGTACACGCAGTTTAGCGCATTGGACAGTATACACAGATAGGGTACAAGATAAGAAAGACCAACTAGACGCAGCAATAGCATATTGCATTTTAGCAATCACTGCCGTGGTTTTAATGCTTTGAAGACCGGAAACTTCCCCTTGATAGGGTCCTGCAACACAGTGAACAACATTTTAGACAAAAAACACCTGTGACGGCGAAGTCTAAAGATCACTGCACAGTAATAACGAGTGAGGAAGATGATCTGTTAGTGCAGTACATCATCAACAAAAACAGAGCATACCAAGGATTAAACCGCAAGAGTATCTCACAGTTTGTAATCAAGATCCTGCTAGTTAGAGATGCAGTAAACAAGAAGGTTGTAGGGGGAAGGAGGTTCATAGCTCTATCACCTGCTAGCAGAAGAACGATAGAGAGGGGTAAAGTTTCACGAGCGTTCATTGAAAACTTTGACATCAAGCATGGTAAAATTCTGAGTAAAAAGACGCAGGGTGCCACTTCAGTCAATAGGGTAACAGCTTGTACAGAGGGTATGGCGGTGAAACACATAGATGACCTTACAGAAGAGCTGGTTATGGTTGGAATTATGACTGACCCCATACAGATCGAGGCTGGGTCATGGACAGGAGTAATTGAGCCTTCTAGAATATTCAACTTCGACGAGACGCCACAATTTATCCACCATGGAGTGGATGGCACTGCACGCAACATCCATTATTGTGGAACAGGTGATGCATGTACGGAGATGAAAAAAGATAACAGAGAATGCGTAACAATTAATCCCATGGTGTCCTTGACCGGGAAAATCATCTCATGTCAGGTTATATTTGGAGCAAAAGGGATACGCTCAAACACGGCCCCAAAAGAGGCCGTAGACATGATTGAAAACCTCCTGATATCTGTGACAGAGTATGGCTGCCAGACAGGTAAAAGCCTCCTCGACTTCTTTAAAGAGTTTAATAAATACCTCACTAAAAACAAGATAGTCCGGCCAGTGTGTGTGATGACAGATGGCCATGGTAGCCGGTTTTCCGAACTTGCTCTACTCAATTTC